TATGTGTGTGTATGTGTGTGTGTATGTGTGTGTCCATACATGAGTACAAGTGCTTTTAAAGGCAAAAGAGGATACTGAATTCTCGTTGTGAGCTGTCTGACTTGGGTACTGGGAACTGAACTGGAGTCCTTTGGAAGGCAGTATGTTCTCTTAACTGTTGAGCTATCTCTCCAGCTTAACCCCTGAGACCTTGATTTCACTGTCTTAGTCAACCAAGCACTGTTATTATGCTCTGATGCTCAGTTGTGTTTGTGTGTGTTGTTTTGTTTGTTTGTTGAGACAGAGTCTCACTCTGTAGCCTTGGGTGGTCTGGGAGTTGCTATGTAGACCACCTTGCAAGCCTTGAATGCATACAGATCTGCTTGTCCACTTGCCTTAGCCTCTATTTTAATCTATCTATCTATCTATCTATCTATCTATCTATCTATCTATCTATCTATCTATCATCTATCTATCTTATCTTCGAAATCACTCTGTAGACCAGGGTTGAACTCACAAAGATTCATCTGCCTCTGTCTTGCAAGTGCTGGGACTAAAGATAAAAGACACCACACTCTGCCCCAATTTTATACTTTTAATATGACTTCTCACCTGAATTCCAGACTCATATTCAATTGTCAACTTTATCTTTTGATATAAACTTTATCATGTTTAAAATAGTTCCTGGGCTTCTTCCCTCTTGCTGCAGGGTTTCTGTAGCTTTTCCATCTTTTCTGTTTCTTGTTCAGGCTAAATCTGAACTCATCCTTAGCCTGTTTTCTATTCTATTTCCAACTTGCTAACAGATTCTTTTGGCTCTATTTTCAAAACTTATCTCATAAATCAGAAAATGCCCTTGACTATGTACTTCTGTTACTTGAACTTGTAAAAGTATAAGGATATAAAGAGTATAGAAAATTTAAAACATCAACCATGGTACTTTTTCAAAGCTTTTGTATTTCTTGCCCCTGGAATATTTTTTTTTAACATTTATTTTTATTTTATGTGTATGGGTGTTTTTCCTGCATGTATGTCTGTATACCGTATGTATTCCTAGTACCCACAAAGGGCAGAAGAGGGCATGAGATAGTTCTGAGCTGCCTTGTGGGTGCTAGAAATTGAATCAGTACTCTGGAAGAACAGCAGTGCTCTTAACTATTGAACCATCTTTCCAGCCCCCCAGGAATATTCTTTCTGGAGATAATCTGCATGCTTTTTCTGTTCAGTTTTCAATGACACTTTTTTTTTGTGGGCCTTTTCTGGTCTTTGAATTTATGATCTTTGACCTTGCCTCTCCCTACCCAACCTCCTTTCCTCCAACCCCACTTTGGAGCAGGAGTTCACACTCAGAGCTCAAGCATGCTAAACATTTATTCTAACACTGGGTTATAGCCTTGTGGTGGTATGCTTGGCCCATCGCAAGTGGCACTATCAGAAGGTGTAGCCTTTTTAGAGGAAGTATGTCACTGTTTAGGAAGGCTTTGTGGTCTCCTAGTGTTCAGACTCTGCCCAGTGTAGAGAGATCTTCCTCCTAGCTGCCTCCAAAAGAGAGTCTCCTCCTGGCTGTCTTCAGGTCAAGATGTAGAAATCTCATTTCCTTTTAGAGCACCATGTGTGTCTGGGTGGTGCCATGCTTCCAGTCATGACAATAATGGACTGAAATGTCATTCTTTATAAGAGTTGCCTTGGTCATGGTGCTTTTTCACAACAATAAAACCCTAAGACAATTTCCCATTTTCAACCTAATGTTTTACAATCATTGTTTTTTTCCTTCTTGGTTTTATTATCTCTTCTTTACCAGACAATGTGGCTTGAAAGGGCAGCTCTTGTTCTGTCTTTTGTCCTCATGGCCGCACATCTGGTGCCAAGTCTTTCGTCCCAGTCATAGCAATGATGTAGCAAGTGCTGTTGAGTAAGTGAGAAGTTAGAGGATCTGGTTGTTAAGCTCTTTGTGTGACAAAATATCTGAGATGAACAATTAACAAGGCAGAAATGCTCATTCACAGTTTGCGAGGCTAAGTCTACAGTCAGCTGAGTCAGCTGGCTTCAGTGCCTGTTTGTTTGACACAGGGTCTCTCTACATAGCCCTGGCTGGCCTGAAAGTCACTATGTAACTTTGTAGATCAGGCTAGCTTCAAACTCATAGAGATATGCTTGGCTCTTTTTCTTGAATACTTGGATTAAAAGTGTGGGCCATCAGGCCTAGCCCCTTGCTTTTGATGCTATAGAAAGGTAGACTATAGAAGGGAGTATAGAATGAAGCTGTTTATTTTTTGGTGGCCAGGAGACAAAGAGACACAGGAAGGCGTCAGGTCCCAGTACCTTCTTCACAGTATGCCCCACTCAATGACCTAACCATGGAGATGTTGAAAACCAATTCTTGTACTAGCTCTCCTCTTTCTCCCTTATGCTCTCTTTAAACATCCCTGGAAAAGCAACATTCTTCTTTAAGGGCTGTACACAGTCTAGAGCTATACACAGTCTTTTCTATTGTAAAATCAAGTCCAATAAAGTCCTTTGTAATTTTTGGAGGACCATTTCAGACAGTGAAAAAAGGGATTTCTTCAGATTAGTGATGTCAATCTCTAGCTGTAGATGTCCTTGTCAATGCCTATCAAAGGTCTGAATAGTGTAAGTCTGGAGGCCAGCATCAGGCTTCGAACCTCCAACAGCAAACACCACGGGTGATTCATTTTTACTTGGAAAAGAAAAAGAAGGGAATTCTCAGGGAGATTTCTCTTCCCTGCATGTCAGTTGTTATTCATCTTATTTATTATTGGGCCTGGCTTTGTGGGGGTATCTATTTATTTCATTAATCTTTTTGGCAGCCATTTAGCTATACCTTCTTTGGTATCAAACAGGCATATCGATCCTTGGCCCCATATGAAAACTGGGTCTGTGCCATTCCATTTAAAAGTAAGAGGGTCCTTCCACATAACTGTGGCATAATTTTTACTGGTCTCAGGATGCCAGAGGCAATCAGCTGCAGATTTGTCATGAGCTTTAAGATTTAAAAAATTAAAAATGAACAAGGCATGATGGAGAGTATTTCTGGAGACTCTTTCTGGGGGTTTATTTCTCCCTTTTGTTTTAAAAGCCAATTTTTTAGTTTTCTTTTAAAACCAGGGCAGAAGCACCAGTAGCTGTTTTTCTTATACTCAGAGAGTTATGAAGATATTATTTTAAAGTTTTATAATATCTGTTTTATAATATCTTGTCCTTGAGGATTATAAGGATTTTTAGTAATATGGGTAATATTAAATTGTCAA